TAAACACTTCCATTCAACCAGTGGAGAAGCATATCCGTACAAGTGCCCCTTGCATATTTTCCCTGAAGGTAATTGGTCTTTCTGTTCTGGAAATGTAAGTACAATTTAATATGCATGTGTTGTATATTCAATTTTTGTTATAAAATTTCCTCGTCTGTGGCTGAGTTTTATTTATAAGGGACGCACTTTTCCCCAGTTCTTGTAATAAGCCTGCACTCGATGTAGACATCTAAATTTGCTGGCCATCCCAATGAGACTGTGTATATTCACTGTGCTTCAGCTCCGTAATCATTTTCTGTTTCCTTAGCTGTTGATTATATGCAATGATAGATGATTGTTCTTCCAGAATGCTGTAAAAAATTGCTCCCTTCAAGCTGCGGCTGAGGAACAACGAAAGGCTGATGAGAAAGTGATGAGGTTGGCTGAAGAACAGAAGGTACTTAGTTGCTCATTTCCCTTAGAATAATCTGATGGACTAGTTTCCGAATGTAAAGTTCGAAACTTGTATTAATAGTTATTTACTGCACTTTTTAATTTCAGAGAGAAAAAGAGAGACTCCATGAGAAAATTATTCGACTGGAGAAACAACTGGATGCAAAACAAGCTGTGCAGCTTGAAATTGAACAATTGAGAGGTAAACTCAATGTTGCAAAGCACATGGGAGATGAAGGCGACTTAGAAGTTTTAAACAAAGTGGAAACGCTGCTCAAGGCAATGAGAGAGAAGGAAGGAGAACTTCAAGAACTGGACTCATTAAACCAAACTTTAATTGTGCAGGAGCGCAAGATAAATGAGGAATTACAGGATGCTCGCAAAGAAATGGTTAATGTGAGGTTTCTAATAGTTTTTTAAGTATATAAAAAAGTAATTTCACTGCTTAGTCTAACCAATATCCATTTTTGTTTAGAGTTAATCCAAAGTAGCTACGTGACCCTGTCTTGGTTATATAAACATTTGTTCTCAACTTGGTTATGACTGATCTATGCTGCATCATTTTTATACACGACTCCATCATATGACATCCCTGGATCATAATTTGGTCTTCAGTAGTAATGAATAGTCCAATTAATCCTCCAGATAATAAGCTCCAGTGGCATTGGATGCAACTATATTGAACACCTTATGGGGGATAATTACAATATCAACCACTTTGACTAGTTAATTCTTAATTTTCTCTCTTTTGATTGTATTTTTCAAATTTGTAATGTTCTTGCTTTAGTGTTCAGCCCTGCTCCCAAGTAAGTAGTAATTATACCATGTAAAGTACAGAAGCTCAGTGTTATCTTCAAAGCAAGCTAGTTAGGGCATTTTTCTGTATTATTTGCTATGGAAGCTTTCTTTTTGGTATAAATTTTTGTGGGGAGGCTAAAAAGAATTGCTCTGTAGGCATTGAAAGAGCTGGCAATAAATTCTCACATTAGTGTCAAGAGAATGGGAGAGCTTGACGACAAGCCATTTCATAGAGCAATGAAAAGGAGGTATAGTGAGGCTGAAGCAGATGAGAGAGCAACAGAATTATGCTCACTGTGGGAGGAATACCTTAGAGATCCTGAATGGCATCCCATAAAGGTGGTTAACATCAACAACAAATATCAGGTAAGCAGTTGAAACATATATGGACTGGTATAGTTTAGTGTTTGTGCTTGTTATTTGCATGAACTGTGCTTGTATGCATGCAGTTTAAGTTCAGCTCATACGTCTTTCTAGTTATGACAAATTGGAAAAAAATAAAGAAAACTCGGGTTAAAAAAATTTACCATTAATTTTGTGCATGGAAAATTATTTTGATACGTCATCATATATATGAAACCGAAGCAAGAAATTGTGGAAAGCTGAGTTCATCCATGGTTAACATGATGCTGATGTGTTCGATCAAGTTCGTTTCGATCCATTCTTCCTTCCGATTTGGTCGATCAAACCTTTCCATGCATTTGAGCGAAGATATTGAAAATAAAAAAATAAAGATTCTTAGATATATGCAGAGAGAAAATAACTGATTTTGATGTGTTACATTTTCCAATAGTCCTTTTCGTGTTTCAGAGCTTTTAACTTTTAAGTATAATCCTGCTAGGTAAAATGAAATCACTTGGAGATATTTTATTTCATTAATGTGAGCATATACAAGGTCGCCATGGTGCAGTCTCTTCATGCACGATGATACACATTGTATTTGTGCATAATATATTATAACAATTAATTCGTTTGATTAATTGAGCTAATTGAACGTATAAACAATGATTGATTTACATGAAAAACTAACAGGATGGGTTCCTCAAATATGATTGATGAAAATTTCATGCCTTCATATACTTTAACTGTGCACATCTACATTTAAATCAGAATTCAATTCTTCATATCCATTTACGCCTTCAAATCAGAATCAATTCTTTAATTCCATTATTTTAGTCTCATTTTCATTAGGGCTCCTAAAATAACTGGCTTTTCGATTTGTTGTGCAGAGCGTGATTGATGAAAGCGACGAAAGACTGAAAGACTTGAAAGAGAATTATGGGGATGAAGTGTGCAATGCCGTGATTACAGC